CCCGTTAAATTTTCATTTCATGACCGGGGAGTAAATTCTAACCGTGAAGCGTTACTTTACGGTAGTCATCCTCGGGTTCTAGCCGAATCACCAAACCACGGGGCTAATAATAACGACGCTTTCCGAATATCAATAAAAACTATTAATGCTAATTCAAATATTAATCAAAACTATTATGGCTAATTCAAAATTCGTGAACCAATTTCATTCATAACATTATTGTAAAGCTCCATTAGATTTGTTTATAAGGACAAAACAACAAGGTCCAACCGTGTACTTGTTTGGGTGCACGTAAAAGGACCGTTGACAACGGGAACGCCACTGTCCTGCCAAAATTGTCCTCACAGCACACTGCATGGCATATGCCTGTCCTTATAAGGGCAATTGGTGCATACAGGTAGGGAGAGAGAGAAATGGGGTTTAACGTCCACTCGACACAAACTAGGTCATTTCGGGACTAACATACAGGTAGGGCTTTAAACCCCGTGTCATATTACAACCGTCTATGGGTAAACATCATCTATTGGTAAACATAAATTGGAACAGAGGTAATCTCTCGCCACTTTCAAATAAATCTTCCCGTCCCCGCAAATTGGTTATCAATATTGATTTACGTCAGAACTATTTTAACCTCGCCATTGTGATATTAATAACAAACAAGATAACAATATCTTATCTAATATTCCACTGGATTAAAGATGTCTCATAACAATATAAGGGGATCACGGTGGCTAAGTGGGTAAGACGCTGGCTCGCTGGCCTGGAGGTCGGGTGTTCGATCCCTGCATTGGCCGAGAAAGTTCATCCAGATTTTCCGGCGTGGTTCTCCCTTGTCAGTGATGCAGGACGGGGGGGGGGGGCTGACAAGAACAACTGTCTAGTCGTTCGGATGGGACGAAAAACCGAGGTCCCTTTACATATTGGCGTGCACGTAAAAGATCCCTTGACGGTTGGAATTCGATATAAAAGTAAGCCGTAGTGTCGCTGTCCTGGCAAAATTTCCCTCATAGCACACTGTATAGCGTAAGCCCGTCTTCATTATCCCAATCGGAGCAGAACAGTAGGACGTTAAACCCCATTTCATATCATTTATCTTTCCAGATTAAAAACTGCAGGAAAACAATTTGAAACGCAATGTTTGCCAACTCAAAAACATTATTTGCAGTCGAGACACTGCAAAACAGTAGGACGTTACTATTTTCATAATTTCAATCATAGTACATTCACAGCGTGCAGTTATATTTGTTATCTTTATGTTGTCAACAAAATGTTGACTTGGATCGCCATCTTCGAAATTAAGATTTTAAACTATCTGAAGCCTGGCTTATGTTGTCCTTAAGAATAGTAAAAACTAGCTGTATCTGGAATATCTGTACTAGCGAGGATCTAGAAAAACTGACTAGTCGGAACAACCAGGGAGACATGAGTACACGTGTCTAAAACTGGCCCTGAGTTCACAAAGCATTCTCAGACTTAAGTTAAGAATTTACTCAAAATTGTTTGTCTTATTTCAATTAAAATATAGTCCCGTATAAAACTTTTGTTGATTTAATGTATCAAATACATCAATAAGAAACTATATGCCAAGTTTTGTGTTTCTGGTTCAATGATATTTCTCATAAACAGTGATTGAAAGTTGAGTAAATTCTTAACTTAAGCCTGAGAATGCTTTGTGAACTCGGGGCCTGGTTTTTGACCGCCAGCAACTAGTCCCAGGCCGGTTGCTGGCCGTCTTTACTCAGTCTCGGGTGACAGGGGTACATCCGTCTCCATGTCACCATAGATTTCCCCACAGAATTTAATGTTAATCTTGAACTCTAACTTTTTCCCGTTTTTTCTATGGATTGAACGCTTTCTACCATAGATGGATCAACATTTGCTCACAAGCAGGTATACAGTTCAGTATGGAAATTTTGAAATGAACAAACATGTTAATACACAGACTCTTAACCCTCTTATCCTTCCGCCTCAAAATGATGAAAATTCAACACAACGGAACAAAAAAATGTACAATGTAAATTCAACGCCCTTTTTTTCGAGTCTATAACACGTCGCTATACACTCTATCCCACAGAATGTAATTTGTTTTTCATCTGGCCTATGAAAATATGTGTATGTCCAAAAGTACCATATTTACTTTCGTATTATACTTCCTTCTCCTTATACTTCCACTTGATGTGAAACACCAACTATAAATATATAGGTTTTATTTCCAACAGTTTAAGCGACAGAGAATACATGGATAATCGCCATTAACAAACACATTCAATTAGATCACTACCGATCCATCATCATCATTGTCCTATCTGTTATGTTTTATGTGACTTTTTACCCAATAATGACAATCGAGTCCTAGGCAGTAATTGATAGATGTTGTATCGAAATAAAATGGAGGTTTAACGTCCCATTTTTCTGCACCAATCGGACTAAAAATGACGGGCGTGAGAGATGCAGGGTGTCATGGTAGGGTGACCCATGTACTCACAGAAATACAGTCCACCGCTGATAGTTCGAGACTACCACTGAAGCGTGCACATTCGCCGTGCCGAGACCAACTTTCTGACAGTATGATACTATAAATAGCCATGGCACGTGCAATTCTTTACAAATCTATCAACTATTACAGCCGTAAAAAATTTATTGTTGACGATTTTGAATAGCAGTAAAATTAAGCTTCTTGGTTATTACAGCAGATTTAGAAATTACGTTCGTTTCATTTTTTAAATCGCTTTATCATTAACTGTACCGTTAAGAGCGGCATCTTTTGGTTTAGTACAAATAATATCTCTGAGTCACTCGGGTTAGACAGGAACATGATACTACACTGTAAAAAATATCCATTTTTTATGTGGCCGAATTCCGTAATTTAATACCTTTTTTCTGTTAATCGATGGATTTTTTGGAGAAATTGTGTTAATTGTCTGAATTATTTCTTCAAATTACGTGTTTTATGTATTTCTGTGGAATATTCAGTATTAAACAGGAAATTTCCGTGAAATTTAGGGATAAAATGTTTTATTCCCTTCTATAACGGACTTAATTCTGTTATTTTACGGAATAAACGGTGGAATGACAAGGAAGTTCCGTGAAATTTAGGGATAAAATGTTTTATTCCGTTCTGTAATGGACTTAATTCTGTTGTTTTACGGGATAAACGGTGCAACGATAAGTAATCGTATACATATATAATCATTCCTAATAATCATCATGTTATAGTATTCATTTCAATTTATTAACCCTAATATGAAGAATCATATTTTGTAACGTTTGGTATATTAATTGACATGTATATCTAATTTCCATTATTTATAAGATCTATAAAGTGTATTGTTATTCATCACACGGTAATCAGATTGTAAGTATTTTCATAAATATGTAAAAGTATGTTTTAATGCTGCGGGTGTTAATGTTGTAATATCTGGTAAACAAGCACGCTAAAGTCCGGATAGTACAACCGGTTGGCCAGTGTAAGTCGGTTTGTCTCTATGGCAGGGTCTGCATACCTGCGAATAGATAATACCGCAAACTTACATCTGAAAGCCTCCAACCACTGACGAGTAGCGGTGTGTGATACCTTGCTCTCGATTCTTATAATAGCGAAAAGAGGTTACGTTTAAAAATTATTTGCGATATCACTTCGGTGGAAGCGGACGTTAAATAAAGCTATTTCACGCACGCTATAAAGTCAATGGTTAATTCAATGAAATTTTTATCACCTTCATGGTCAGGAAACAAAATTTACCAGGATTTTTTTTTTCTGTATTTGAAAATGGAATTTATGTTAATTGAAGGAATTTCTGTAAATTACAGGAAAAACAAATACGGATAAAATTTTCCTGGTAATTTTTGTTTCCGGAATTTTTTACGTTTTTTCACGGAAATTTTTGTTACAGTGTAGCAGTAGTTTCATTTTACTTTTACAAGCTTCTTAAAACGATTGTTGAGCTACCTAACGTGCTTATTTCTAAATTCAATTTCTTGTTCTAGCTTTCTATTATGTTTCGTAAAAAAGTAGTCTTGATTATCCCAACCTGTCAATCAGACGTATAATGGTCGATAGGCTGGTTAAGCGAGACTAATTTCAAAACAAGGGCACGTAACCTATCTTTTACTCAAAAGTGTCTGGATGAGAATCTTTCTCAGTCAATAGCGGGATCCAACCCAGGACCTCCTGGCTAGTGAGCCAGAGCCAGTTCCATACCCACGACTACAACACGGCTCTTATTAAAACGTCAATATGGAAGATTAAATAAAGAGGTGACAGTTCTCGCTATAATAGTTAAACAGGCATTATGCAAGGGCTAAATCTGCCTATTGTATGTTAATTAGACATTAATTAACTTACCAAGACCATATCGAGAGAGAGAGAGAGAGAGAGAGAGAGAGAGAGAGAGGGGGGGGAGAGAGAAATGGGGTTTAACGTCCACTCGACACAAACTAGGTCATTTCGGGACTAACATACTCGTATAGTTTAATTTTATTTCGGGACTAACACATGGTTTCATTTTTTATTTTAATAATTCGCTTGCGCGTAGGGGAATTTAGCAGTGGGAGGAAACCGGAGGACCCGGAGAAAACCCACGAGGTTGGACAGGCGACCCTACTCCTTGTCACGTACAACCGGGGATTCGAAACCACGCCAGTTGACTCAATCACAGGCCTTATGATACAGCGCGCACGTGCTAACCATTCGGCCATCCAACCCCCCAAGATGGCATCGAGTGTTGATTATGGTCTTGTCATGTTAATAAATGTTTAATTAATAGTTTATATAACATTTAATGCCTAAAGAAAGACCTGCAATAGGCAGATTTAGCTCTTGCATAATGTCTGTTTAAACTCATTATACAGTTCTTTTGACCCCATTTTACGATTGAACATTTTTGTGACTGTTATTCTTTTGAATAATGAATCTGAAATCCGCGACGATTAAAACGAATCAACACTATAATAAACCAATTTGATTTATGATGAACAAAAAAACAACAATATAAACAAAATAATATATAAAAATATTTATTTCATGAAACACAGGGGGGAATATTCGGCATCCAAGCACAATCGAACCGATATAGAACTGGTTACATTATCAGAACAAATTCTTGACGTCACAACCTTTATATGAAGTGGTGTTTATAGAACAAATTTGAACCAAAAATTAAAGAGATGAACATTGGAATTAGGTAGAAACAATATGATCAAAAAATATGTGCATAATATTGAAATAATAAACGTTCAGGCTGTTCTTTCTCTTTAAAATAAATACTTAAATATGCCATATAGACCATTTATTAAAATATTTAAAAACAAATAAATAGCATCTGATATATGTACATGTATAATATAATATAAATCATCATTCAACATATCTAGTCTATTTGATTCTTTTTCGAAATAATTCGGTAATATCGACTGACACGAGTTCGTAATAACGAAATTCAACTGTATATACATTATTATATCATAAAAAGTGTATTGCAAATTTATGTAAAGAAAAACAAAAATGTGTATTTTTATTGCCTTTGAATAATTCGGTAATATCGACTGACACGAGTTCGTAATAACGAAATTCAACTGTATATACATTAATATCATAAAAAGTGTATTGCAAATTTATGTAACGAAAAAACAAAAATGTGTATTCTTATTGCCTTTAAATGTACATAGTCGGCAAATATTGCTATATCAAAGTCGTCAGTTTTTTATACCTTTTGTGACCACGCCTAATTTATATGGCAAGAACACATAGTCATCAAATTTAATGTTTTTACTTTTTTTTCAGCTGGAGATCGGTCCGGTCTACTATTTTATAAATAGAGCTGCCCTAAGGACAAATATTCATGGTAGCTTTGAACTCACATAAAATTAAGCCAAAAACGGCCTTATTGGTGTTTTTTCCTTCCCAATCCCATTAATTTTGATCACTGTTTCGGACTATCAATCTGATTAAAACAAAGAACCAATTTCGTTTCATTTTTATAGTTCAAAATTTAGATTTTACTTGTCTTTACTACACTTGTAGTGTAGGCAATCGAAAGTATAAAAAACGAAACGAAATATAGATCTATATTTTAGTTAGATTGTCGGACTATATTCTCAAACAAAATATATATACTAGACTACTTAAATTAGTCAATTCATGATTAATCACAGTACACGTCAAAACAATGTTTGATTCTAAATATTAAATAATAAAAAAAACATAACATACAGACACCGTCTTATAATTAACTGATATGTACGAATATTTGTAGATATATCACAGTAAGTAAAGTATTCATGATATGGTTAGTCATTATTAATAGTATGTACTGTTTCCGATGATTTATAACGTAATGGAAGCACGTCTCTTGATGATGTCTTTGATAAACTACCAGATTTCCAATGAGTTGCTAGTATAATTTTCTGAAATAATAAATAAACAAATTAGTATTGGTATCATAATTCTAGTAAAGAAGGTCATCTTATTTTGGGTTAATGCGTGCATATATTTTAAAACTTCTTGGATAACCCCTTAGAATAATAGGATGGGTGATTATATCTAGGGTGTAACGTCCGCTTGTATTTAGCCATTTGGTAAAGAATATGTGTGTATTGAAGATTTGTATGCCTTTGACACACTATGTTAATTCTGTTGGCCTATAGTTAGACCGAAGTAACATGGCCACCGCCGTGGACACACAAGGCGAATGCCTGTGTCTGATTTCTCGGCGAATAACTCGTCTGAAACTTAATTCATGCATGCGCTTTTACGCTTTTGGCCACATTATATCGTTGGAGGTTACCATTTTTTGTTTAGATTGGTTGAGAAATTTTAGGAGTCGCGATACGCTTAGACGTAGTGGACACACTGGTCCTCAGCGACAAAATTTAATACCAATGGCGAATGGTGTCGGCCGAAGCTCGGGCAAATGTCGCATATTTAACAAGCGAAGGGTTCGCCCAAATAATTCGCGGTAAAATTTCGCCTAATGTGTCCTATTAATTAGTGAGAATATGAATGTCTACAATAGTGTTATTTAGTCTCATTGGTGTCGTCTGAACTAGATAAATAAAGCTTTACATATTTTTCATTTTGTGTGTAAAAGGCAAGGGGCATAACTCCAGTATTTGTGTCGAGGTGGGGGGGGGGTCATTTTGATGTCAGATTTTCAAGAAATTCGCAACAATCCGTGATTATGGTGGAACAAAGATATGTACATATGTTTGAGCTTTTCAAAAAATAAAATTTAAAACGATTGTGACATCTAGGGGGTTCACAATCTAAAAATGTGATTTTTCATGCAATAATCCAGGAAGTTACTGTATACTGCCAAAATTGTCCCTATTCCAGATCTGCAGATATAAACATACATATGGTAGGTTTTATCGAAATCGGATAAAAGTTGTGACCTGCAGAGTCTCCACAAACATAACCAGGCGGTCCCGAGTTCGATCCCGATGTTGATCGAGAAAATTCATCATGATTTTCCGAGTGGTTCCCCCCTTGTCTCAATAAACGAACCCTTGACAGTTTTAATTCGAAAGAAGGGTAGGTCGCAGCGACGCTGTCCGGACAAAATGTCCCTCATAGCACACTGTATAGAGTATGCCGGTATTCATTAGCGCAATCGGTGTTTTAAACCCCATTTCATATCATTTTGGTTTCATTTGCCGACGATGTCTGCTGCTTAGTTTTTTGGACAGGAAAGTTTACTTTGAAGTGCTGTCTCTAGTAGAGACCTGGGTATAGCCCAAACTCACTCTAAATTATGCCCAAAATTGAAAAGCATTCTCGCGCTCGAGCACAGTTGGAACTTCCTATGTCTCGGTGCTTAAGATTCCTTAAAAATGCCCAGCTTTACTTACCACTAAAGCTCCAAACAAAGCTCCAATAAATAGACCAGACAATACATCAGTATAGTGATGCTTATTATCTGCTACACGTGATACACATACATACACTGCTGTCATGGCCGCTCCGAACTGTATGACGTGTTTCACTAAACCACAATGTCGTCTTTCAGCTTTTACGTGTAAATATAACTGAAATATAAATCAACAAAAAGACTGAAGATGCAGAAATCATGCGCGATAATAAGAAATACAACATCTTCTTGAATGTTTATGGAATATAATAATATTATGACGTTTCAAGTAAAACCAGGCACTGAAGTCGGTGGCTTAGTGAACAAGACAATCGTTTTCTGACCTGGGGGTCACGCGTACAATCCTGGTGTTGGCCAAGAAAGTTTTTCGGGATTTTCCGGAATCGTTTCCCCTTGTAAATGGGACAGAACGGGGGGGGGGGGGGGTCTGGCAAGAAACAGCCTTTAGTCGTTCGGGTGGAATGGAAAACCGTGGTCCCGTGTAGGCCTACACCTATTTAACTAGTTCGCCCGACTGGAGCGGAAAAGTAGGATGTTAAACCCCATTTCATTAGAAAACATCACAGCATTTCCAAATTCTTACATGGGAAATTCAAATAAGAATCTCGGTGAGTAGGTCCCTATTGCACTTTCAGACTAACTTGGAAGTGCTTGCTTCGATTCCGGAGATAGCCGAGAAGGCTCATAAGGATTTGTCAGTCTGGTTGGTGCAGGGCGAACAGACATTAAAGCGTCAAACTTTTCTTCCAGACAAAAAATGTACTGACAAAGTATAAAGATCAAAGGGGGGTAACTCCGAAATTAATAGATTCAGCAACTCACCACTGTAAACATCATTGTGTAACCGATATAACTGGAATGACCACTGGGGAATGACAATCTGAAAATTAAAAAAGAAAGTGTAATCTTTATGACGAAAATCATCACATATTTCTGTTTGGTTGCACGACTCAAACAGATTCTTTCTGGTGGATTCAGAATCTATTCTTTTTGTTTCATATCGGAATCCAGATACCCAAATCAGTGAATCCGAAATCAAATAAAAATCTAGATGATCGAATTATCTGTCTAAACAACCAATCTGATTAAAACACAGATCCTATTTCGTTTCGTTTTTATAGTTCACAATTTCGTTTTACCTGACTTTACTATACTAGGATCTGAAAGAGTTATCGTTGACGTGTTCTGAATGATGATGATGGGTTAGTTGTATTTTACGTCCGCTTCCACCGAGGTGATATCGCAGACAAATGATTTGAGCTATTAGCTAATGAAACGGTCTGTTACGGCGAGCTTTAGGCGTGTTTTGCACGGAACTGTGGGTAATTCACCAGTAACACCAATACTTATTGGTTAATCAAATGTCTGACGTCATAGGTCAAAAGCCGCCAGCATGACCTCTGACGCGGCCTATCGCTACAACCGGTCAGATCTTCATGTAGTGTAGGACTGTAAGGCCATCGAAAGTATAAAAAACAAAACGAAATATAGATCTGTATTATAATCAGATTGTCTAAACAATAAGTGTTCTAAATAAGACTTAGAATTAACCAGATAGAAATATGCCCTAGAGAACACTGATGTTGTCTACCTTTGAATGGCGCCATTTTAAAACAATATCCACAGTTTCACTTATATATAGGAGAGAGAGAGAGATGGGGTTTAACGTCCACTCGACACAATGTAGGTCATTTCCGGAAAACATATGGTTCAATTTTATTTCGATAATTCGCTTGCCTGTAGGGGTCTATAGTAGCAGTGGGAGGAAACCGGGGGACCCTGAGAAAACCCACGAGATTGGACAGGCGACCCTACTCCTTGTCACGTATAATCGGGGAATCAAAACCACGCCAGTTGACTCAGTGGCAGACCTTTTGATACCACGCGCACGCGGTAACCATTCGGCCATCCACCCCCTGGTTGGTTCAGAAAGTAGGGCGTTAACCCCGACTACATTTGAACAATACTCGACTCGGAGAGACAACATTTATGCTGAGGGGAGAGGCGGGGGGGGGGGGGGTACTGACAAGATCTAAGTTTACACGGTTTAATCAACACATCGATGGTAGATAAGGTTCCGACTGGGAATTAAGTAATCGGATCAAACACTGCCTCTCCAGACATTTTATCAAAAGTGGCGCTGACTCGATTTAACTGCACCCTCTCGTCTGCAGTGGATACCGAACGTTAACAAATTTTCAACTCATCATTTTTGTAAATAACACTCGCTGATGACGATCAGAGAAGTTTACTATACGGTCCCAACAGGTTGTTCGTTAGAGACTTTTGGCAAGGTAAATTCCTGGTCCCTATCACGTTCCCGTATCGATTTTGCTTGTGACGTCATCAATGTGTGTGTATTTCTCATACACGATACGGCACACGGATACAGAAATTTGTATCGAACAGCTTTCATACGAAAAATGTCCGTATAACATCATCATCTTTTTACCGTCTTTTTTTGCTACTTTTAGACACTGGAATGTTGTGCCATAGCGTTTTTATGAATCTATGTGTATCCTAAAACACAAAGGTGTATATTTGATGTGATTTTAACCATGATAAAGACTGGAATTTAATCATTATTTATGATGAGTTTTTCTCAGAATTTTCATATTTTTTCTGTCTGTTTGCATGCTAGTTGATCTACGTGCCAAATTGAGGGAGGTGGGACCTTGCAAATCTGCAAATGACGTGATTCTATGATAAAGGGGTGTAAAGTTTCTGAAATGATACATTAGTGAAACCAAAAATTGCTGTCGAATCGAAATCGAGTTTAAAAAGATTCGACATTAAATGTTTTTTAATAGCTAAGCGACTGTCAAGCGAGTTTTACTCCCTCCAGAAATGTGTAGGCCAGTTCACTGGACTAGTACTGATGGTGATCTTGGTAGATAACTGCCATCATACTGTAATAGAACTAAGCTCATCTCAGCTACGCATACGTACGCGGTGAGAAATATGTCAAAACTCTAAAACTACATTGACGCGACGTATCACGTGACGATATGGATACCTGATACGGATGGGAAAAAAATCCACTTGCCAAAGTCTTTATAGATTAATAACATACGTTGTAATGAACTAAAACTGCGATTTACTAATCCTAACAGAGCCCTGTTTCTCGAAATCTTAACTAAAGATAAAATCCAATTTTAGTAGATACTTCAATTTTGATTGGTTAAGCACTAAAATCAATTTAATATTATCCAATCAAATTACTAAAATTTGGATTTTATCTTAGTTAAAATTTCGTGAAACAGGACCCAGGAATAAGAAACAACAGAAATAAAACAGATGACGAAGACATACCTTGCTTCGCGGAGCTGTGGTCCACTTCCACGACAGACAAAATTAGTGACGTAGCCAACTGAACAATTTATAATTGAAAAATCCGGGTTACAGACTGCTACAAAATGAGGCCTCAACCGTCCAACTGTTAACTTTATGATACTGACGCATAACTGACACAAAGCTCCACCAAACAAAAAAATCCCAAATTCTACACATAAAGTCCAGAAAAATCGTCCGTAATAATGTAGTTTGGTTTCTTCTTCTCTTCTACTAGTGAACTTGATCCACTCACATGCTAAAATCTAAATATACAAAATATATTTTTATATCAGCTTCATAGCTGTTCTGTAGCCATTGGGCTAATGAAGACGGGCATACACCATACAGTATGCTATGAGGGAAATTTTGCCCGGACAGCGGTACTACGGCCTACTCTTATATCGAATTATAACTGTCAAGGGTTCTTTTACGTGCACGCCAATATGTACACGGGGCGTCCGATTAACCATCAGTTGGCCTTTGCTAGACCTGCGTTCTGCATCACTGACAAGGGGGAGTCGCGCCGGGAAATCTATGAACTTGTGAACACAGGAACCGAACACTGGACCTCCAGGTTAGTGTGCCAACGTCATAGTCACTGAGCCACCGTGGCTCCCGATTCATAGACAAGTTTAACCTAAAAGGATTAAGTTTTATTGATACACTTAGATTACAAATTTTAGGGTCATCCTTAGTGTCCGAAACTCTTTTTTTTAATCCGTGACTTAGGAGACTACTGTATACCTTTTAATCTTATGCTATATACTATTCAAAAAAAGTAGGGGATATTTGATTTTTAAGTGTTATTAAAGTCACCTAATGAAACTGACGAAGAAACAAATGACAAAATGAAATGAAGTTCACATTCATCGATTTATTCCAAATGATCGTTAAGACTAAGTAGGGCACAGACTGACCATTATAAGGGTAAAATGATACCCGGGGTCAAACAGCAAAGTTACCACAGCATCACAACCAAGTCAGTAACGGGTAAATCCTCCTCTGTTTGCCAAACAAGCATTGATCCGACGTGGCATACTCCTAATGAGACGTCTAAGGTCATTTTGGTCCAGATTGTCCCATTCCTGTTGCAACGCAGCAGCAAGTTCTTGGACATTGGCAGGACGTTGTTGACGTTGACGTAACCTCTGTCCAAGCATGTCCCAGACATGCTCGATGGGGGAGAGGTCGGGACTCAGTGCTGGCCAAGGTAATGTGGTGATGTTCTGTTGTTGGAGGTAACCTGTAACGATTTTGGCCCTGTGACATCTTGCGTTGTCATCCTGGAAGATGAAACGGCGGCCATGACGTCGTGCGAACGGCACAACATGGACTGCCAAGATGTTGTCCCGGTAGTACTGGCCTGTAACACGCCCTGCAACAACATGTAAAGCCGTTCTTCCAGCAACAGTGATGCCTCCCCACACCATAACAGAACCACCCCCAAATCGATCATGTCTGATGACGTTAACGTCTTGGAAGCGCTCGTTTCGACGACGCCACACCCTCCTACGTCTGTCCAAAAAATCAACAGTGAACCTTGACTCATCTGAAAACATCACATTGCTCCAGCGTCGATTATCCCAGTGTTGACGATCCCTACACCAACGACGTCTTGCCTGAATGTGATGATCTCTCAAACAAGGGATCACGCGAGGACGTCGGGCGCGAAGGTGACCCCTATGCAGTCGATTCCTAATCGTCTGGCCACTCACTCTCACACCAGTGTCTGTTTGAAGACGAGCGCTGATCTGATTTGCTGTGATGACACGATTTCTCAAGGCCAAGGTACGGATAAATCGATCCTGGGCTTGAGTTGTCGCCCTTGGTCGACCTGAGCGTGGTCTGTCCTGTACAGATTGTGTATCACGGTATCTGGACCATAGCCTGCTTATGACAGACTGAGAAACATTCATCGTCCGCGCCACAACCGCCTGTGTTGTGCCGATCTGTAGCATGCCAAGGGCACGTAACCTTTCATTTTGGGTAAGCCGACGCATATCAAAATTTGTTTTCTGGTCACTAAAACAATTAAACTGATGTTTCCACCCTGGAATTCAATGCCACAATGACTGTAACATTCAAAGTCAGAGTCGTGCAAATCTTGGGTTGGACCCCCATGATGATCCCAAGCATCACCTGCATTCCATGCGGTAGCTATTGGTGCGTTTGGGCGTCACATGTAACTGGAAATGTTTCTTCTGTTAGGTTCTATAGTGACTTTTTTCGTAGTCATTTGCATATTTTAGTATTATGCCCCCAAAATCAAATATCCCCTACTTTTTTTGAATAGTATATTATAGGGACTATCTGGTTGTCATGGCGATGGATTTATGTTTATAAACATTGTGCATTTCAAACGCATCGGGACAACTTTGTCCCTAAAAGAAGTATATGTTAGGTTTCTAATTAAATTGCCTTCTCTGTGTAGATATGTAGCTAATTATGTTGTGTTCCCGTGTCATTCTATTTGTCTATGGATTTTTGTGCAGTTCTGCTGAACTGTCTATTAGTAGGCAGAATTTGGTTCCGTTTTTATGTCTTCCTAAATTTGTGCATGAGCTAGAAACGTCAAGATATGTTCTATAGAAAGCCCCATTTACAGTCATATTTTACAAATTCGTGCGCTTGAGGGATAGAACTGCCAAAGACCCCCTAGAGTTGGGAACCCTGTCCTAGGAGTTTGAAAGTAAGCGATAACCCTCCAACCATCGCTCTCCGGATAACTAATTAATGTACATTATTTAACTTACACAGAGGATAGGTATGATGAAACCTAGAGCAAACGCCAGTCCAACTGATACTGTATCTTCATTATAGGGATATCTAATAGTATCATCATCACAGAAAAACCCTCGTTTAAAGGGTTCGATGTGGATCGTTTCACATAATGCAGCTAACAATACAACTGAAATAATATACAAATATGAAGAATTAGTTCAAGTCGTGTTTTTATGTCTTGCTTTCTACACAAATGCTTTGGATTAATAAACCTGGTCCGAACTACTGATCCGTTATGTAGTCATGGTATCGTACACGACACAGGGAGTAAGGAAAAACGTATATATAGTCGTTCAGATGAGACGAAACCCGAGGTCCCATGTACACATTGGCGTGAACGTAAAAAATGCTTTGGCAGTTGGAATACGATATAAGAGTGGGTCATATCGTCGATGTTGGGGCAAACTTCTGTCCGGGTAAAATTTCCCTCATAGCACACTGTATGCCATATGCCCGTCTTCATTAGCCCAGTTCAGAGCAGAACAGTAGGACGTTAAACCCCCATTTCATTTCTACCTCTCACTTAGTAGTTTATTTATTATCATAAATCTCTGTGTAAATACTTCGATTAAACTATAATAAACAGTTCATATCTCAATTCACAGAGAATGCAAATTGATTTAGAATAATCAATTGAGTAAGCTCTATAAATATAGACTTACTTTGTCGAATTATTTCATGATCAAATGACTCGTTTCAAAATTTTTTATCGATTATTTCTTTTTAAATTTATTTATAATTATCATATTAATAATTAAATCACGTGCTTCTAGAATATATTTAAATAAACAAGATAAATAAATTAACCCTTTATCTTGGGGAAAACTGGAGGAAAATTATTTCATGATCAAATTTTTTATAAATTTTTCTCTTTTAAATTCATTTTCTGTTAGCTTACTATAATTATCATATAATTAAATCACGTCCTTCTAGAATATATTTAGATAAACAAGATGAGGGGGGAGGGAATCATTTCATAATCAAATGACGTGTTTCAAAATTTTTTATCAATTTTTCTCTTTTAAATTCATTTTCTATTAGCCTACTATAATTATCATATTTATAATTAAATCACGTGCTTCTAGAATATATTTAGATAAACAGGATGAATAAATTAACCCTTTATCTTGGGGAAAACTGGGGGGGGGGGGGGAATCATTTTATGATCAAATGACGTGTTTCAAAAATTTTTATTAATATTTCCTTTTTAAATTCATTTCCTATTAGCCTACTATAATTATCATATTTATAATTGAATCACGTGCTTCTAGAATATATTTAGATAAACAAGATAACTAAATTAACCCTTTATCTTGGGGAAAACTGGGGGGAAATTAATCATTACATATACAGATAAGACATAGCCTAATGACATTTCACTGTTTTAATATTAGATCTTACCCCATTACATTGTAGCTTTGGTCGTGAGCATTCTGCTCATTGAAGGGAGTGTACGAGCTCGCCATTGAGTTTCACTTATATTTTAGACATCTGAATAGACATTACAAATCACCATTTTCTAATAAGGGGGTTCCTTATTTTTGCGGTATTTAGATGGACATCGCATTGAAGGGAGTGTACGAACTCGACATCGAGTTTCACTTATATTTTAGACATCTCATTGGACATTACAAATCACCATTTTCTAATAAGGGAATTACTTTTGGGGTTTATTTTTTTTCGTTTGTTTTTCTGTTTTGTTTGGGGTTTTTTTTTGTTGAGGTGCAAATGGAGGGGGGGGGGGATGCATGCCCATACATCCCGGTGTTATAGGTTTCGGATATATTTTTGTTTTGTTTTTTATTTAATTATTTATTGGAGGTGGGGTGGGGGGGGGGGTTACTACACACTATTAGTATCGTTAATTACCGAGGTATATATAGCTGGGGGGTTGGATGGCTGAATGGTTAGCGTGCACGCGCTGTATCATAAAGTCTGTCATTGAGTCGACTGGCGTGGTTTCGAATCCCCGGTTGTACGTGACAAGGAGTAGGGTCGCCTGTCCAACCTCGTGGGTTTTCTCCGGGTCCGCCGGTTTCCTCCCACTGCTAAAGACCCCTATGCGCAAGCGAATTATTGAAATAAAATTAAACCGTATGTTAGTCCCGAAATGACCTAGTTTGTGTTGAGTGGACGTTAAACCCCATTTCTCTCTCTCTATATATAGGTTGTTTACTTTCTAGGTTAGTTTAGATAATTCTCGTGTTTAGCTCTATATTGATTCTCATTAATTATATAAACCCCTTGATGTTTATTTACATCCATATATGATCACCACAGATGCTATCTCATATATAATGATCGACTTCTGTTTCAACGGCACACTTGTGTATGCTGTCCTTGGTGAATATAACGATACAATAAACATTTTAATTTATCGGATATATTGCTAAAACTTAAACATGTAAGAATTCGGATTGCCATGGTTTAAATATAGAATTTAAGACGTCAATAATTAATCTTGCCATTCTTCCACGCTACAAGAAATAAAATAATTAATTATACGGCTTAAATGTCTTTTTTCAACGTTTTCTTGAGTGGGCTAACATGGACTGTGACAAATGAGAAAAGCCTTATAACGGGGTCAACCGAAAGATCAATGAAGCGTGTCACCTTATAAGAAATATAAATATATTTCACAATGAAGAACCCATACGACATTCAACGGCTATGTAATTAGTCAAAACTATATAAACCAAGGTAACATAAGAGCAAACACATATATATATATTTTTGACATATGTAGACCTAAATTTGTAAATAATATGACCTACTTGTAATATGTGCCCTTATAACACATAGATAAGGGTGTATATAGTATACTAGTATACTAAAACAATCGAACATTACATACGAGATATGTGGGTATGATACAAGCTAATTACATATAATTATTCACTAGTATAATACGGTACCTACCTATTACAAAGCACACAACGTTTACAACGATATGTGCTATTTCAGCCGTTGTTCTCTTAGCCATATCATCAGCTAACAAGCAATGTAAACTACCTTTTACAAACAATCCCTTCTAAGACACGTTCTCTTTCGGCTGTCACTCTGTTATCACTCTCGAATTACAAGTCTCAAGCTGTGACCTCCTGCCCGCCAGCGAACAAAGCGAATGAAAATCAATGAAAAGTGATTTAGAAAATATCGATTGCCACTATTATGTACACCCGTAGAAGCTACAGTTGAGTCAATTAATTTCTGATCTGCTGTCTGTCATAAAGAGCTAAAAAAGCGCCTGGATAAACTTGTAATCTTACGTCACGTATGTATGTGGGCAAGGCTGGTAGGTACAAGGACAATTATAATAAACGTTAAATATATATGAATAGATATATATAATATATGACACACCTTTGTGTCAAGTCTGTGGCACTCAACAGAATAATTAAATTTCCTGGTATAATTGTGTTACAACGTCTTATTGTCTTATTGTTTATTTATAACCGATTTGTCATATGTAGGTGTATTGTGGTATTTTAATACATTTAAAATCCTTGAGTGACGATAGTGGATATGTAAAGCGGTTTAACCCTATACCCGGCGTGGTTATACCCGGCGTGGTTTCCCTTTGTCAGTGATGCAGGATGGAGGGCCTGACAAGAACAGCTGTCTAGTCGTTCGGATGGGACGAAAAACCGAGGTCCCGTGTACACATTGGCGTGCACGTAAAAGATCCCTTGACAGTTGGAATTCCATATAAGAGTAGGCCGTAGCGCCGCTGCCCGGGCAAAATTTCCCTCATAGCACACTGTTTGGCGTACGCCCGTCTTCATTAGCCCAGGTAAAGTAGAACAGTAGGACGTTAAACCCCATTTCATTTCATTTCATTTCCCGATACCCGGTTTGGTTAGGTACTTTAACTGTTTGGACCAGGGACTCATCTTCTTGTTGTTCTTGTTGTTTCTAGGATCAACGCTCTTCGAAAAAAAAAATTCAAATTCTCGATCGACTTGAAACTTAACATGATCGTTCCTTGGACAATTGGGCATCGATTGACAGACTTCGACGTCACAATTCTAGGATGATTGCGATGACGTCAAGCTCAGCTCTTGGTTCATATAATACGCTCGTCACCTCATGTAGAGGTGACTGTTGTGCAATTATCAAAATGGCAGATATACATAATACAGTACTCAATAACCCGGTAATAGGAAGTAAAAAATGAAGTAAAGAATTTCATATAGAAGGGGTTAGAACTATTTCTAAGGCCAACTTCAAGTTCGGTCAAAGGTCACGAAATGTAAACAGGGCTAACGCTAATCCCTACCCTAACTCCAACTCTGGACCTAGCCCTAACGCTTACCCTAACCCTAACCCTAACCTATAATCTCGCCAACAATCACGTGTCCTAACCTTATTTACATCTCAGTGGCCTTGACGAAATCTTGAGTTGGCCTTAAGAAATAGATCTAGTCACATATAGACAGGGTCGTAATTATTATAGGTGGCACATTGGTTGTCACACAACGCATGGTCAAATGTTAGTGCTAAATGGTAAGGCCAGTTTTCGTCCTAGGTCACGAGATGTAAACAGGGCTAGCGCTAATCACAACCCTACCCCTGGACCTAGCCCCAATGCTTACCCTAACCCTAACCTACAATCTCGCCAACAATCACGTGCCATAACCTTCTTATAGCTCTCAGCGACCATGACAAAAATTGAGCTGGCCTTTACAAATAGATTTAGCGCATGGTTAAAGTTTCAGTACAGACAGGAAATTGAACCTTTGAAAAAGATCGGTACGACATTAGTTTCTATCATCCAGAAAAATATTCTACGAATATTAGTCTGAATGGGTTGTCAACATTTGAGAAAAATTGGCTAGATAATCCGGTCTATTACATTGCCATAAACAACGTCTAAGGGAGGTAACTCCTTTTAAACAAGATGTTTACACCCATGGAATTAATTTAAGAATGTCATTTCAAAACATCCATGTTATTGCATGCGAGTTCAATATCTAACACTCTTAATTTTTTATTGTAAAATTTCTCTCTTCATGGGCCATATTTATGCTTTGAAAATTAATCCTAATTCGTCGTCACGATTCATGTTTGTTTATATTATTAATGCAAGAATTATGGGATTTATTGTGGGAAGGGGCGCAACTCTTACTTGACTTGGCTAAAGAGACTAGATAATCAACAACATTAAAAACCAAACTCCCGGTTACGCATGGGCAATGGACTTTACGTCAAATATTGACAACTTTCCCAGACCCTCCGTATGTTGAAGACTAGGAGGTTCTGGGTGACCGAGACTAGTACGACATATATCAACAATTTATTCTTTATTTTGATATTTGTAAACACAGGTTCAAAGCAATATAAATGTGTAGCTTACGGGTGTTTGATTGATTGACATCCAAATCTCACCTCCTTTGCATATATTCTAAGTTTTAAGTTAGTTTGTTGGTATTATGTGTTTAACGTCCATTTTGCATAAACTAGATCATTTTGATTTTGGGTTCAGCTTGATATGGTTCAGCTTTATTTTAATAATTCGCTTGTGCGTATGGGTCATACTCACGGAGCTATCATTGGCTCACGGGATTTACACGGGGGTATCTGTTTGCTTCAGATAGAGGGGGGGGGGGGGGTAACGTCCACTCGACACAAACTAGGTCAGTTCGGAACTAACATATGGTTCAATTTTATTTCAATAATTCGTTTGCGCGTAGGGGTCTGTAACAGTGGGAGGAAACCGAAGGACCTGGACAAAACCCACGAGTTTGGAGAGGCGATCCCACTCCATGCCACGTACAACCGGGGAGTCGAAACCACGCCACTTGACTCAATGACAGACCTTATGATACAAGGCATTCGGTCACCCCCTCCCCCCCCCCCCCCCCCAAAACAAAAAAAATCGAAACGAAGACAAAGGCTCGCTTACCCAATCAAATCAACACTTCAAAGTGATTTAAATTGACATTGTTATTTTTTACCCCAAACAAAAAAAGTCAAGTCGCTTTAAATTACGACAAAGGGGCCGCGGTGGCCCAGTAAGACTCTGGAGTCGCTAACCAAGAGGCCCGGTGTTCGCTGCCGTTGTTGACCGAGAAAGTACTTCAGTGGTCCCGTGCACACATTGACTTGCACGTAAATAAACCCTTGACAGCTGGCCGTAGGTCGTTACCCGGGTAAGATTTCCCTCATAGCACACTTACTGGCGTATACTCGTCTTCATTAGCTCAGTCGGTGCAGAACAGTATGACGTAAATCCCATTTCATTTTACATTTAAATTGCGATGCGATATGTACCTCTCGGTCTCCACACAAAATACGGCACTGAACCTTTGCAATTAACTAAAAATTAAAAAAGCTTACTTTTCTACACCAAGGTCTCTATAACGTGCACACCGGACCTCCTGTTCCTGAAGCAACAACCGCGAGTTTTACAACATCTAGACGTTGCTAGATTTGTCTGCAATTCCCGAACTTATAGCTACGTTATCTCCCTTTTAATGCAGTCACGTGAATGATAGTGCTCAATCGGAGGCTGTGACACAACACACTCAAACCAAAAATGTGACGACACCACCGAAATCGTGACATTGAACGAACCTTGAACTTTGCTCTTCGATTATCACAGGCAGACATTTTAACTGGAAAGCGCGAGACTTGGTATTCGTGATGATCGAGGAAACTGACCTAGGATTTCGTCCCATCAAAATCCTAGTCCAATTTACTAGCCAAGCCCTCCATCCTGCACCGCTGACAACCAGACTGGAAAATCCTTAATATTTAAACCCGCGAAATCCTTTTCAGCGAGCTTAAGTCATACAAACCGATCCACAGACCGCACCCCCCAACAGCGATTAAGGATAATAATATGTTCAATAACTTGGTTATTGTCCTTGTTTACTAACAAACAGAAGGAATTAATCTAATATATTTTATTAACATCATAAAAACATAACAAATTTATGTATAAAACATGTATATATAATATTGTATATCTTGGTCAATATTGACGTCTTTGGTTTTGTAATATCAGTACTTTCATCTGTATACCAGTTTTGGCGGGAAAATTGTGCACATTGATTTCTAATGGATTAAATCTGGCAGACTAGAGTTATCCTAGCCTCCCATGTGTCTGCTTATATACAGTAGCTATACATTGGTAGGGCTGGAGCGATATGTATCGTCTTACTGGATGATGGATATGATCAAGACTAAACACCATACCATTAGTTTTAGTTCTTCCGATCAGAAACCAATATATTTAGATTTTAAAATAACCACAGACTTACCAAATTCATGTATATATAAAGTATAACAGGCAATGTGGAAGGTCGTGATGCTATGTTTAATTTATAATGAACCAGTGGAATCTCATACTAAACTTACGCTGCCTTTCTGCAATTAGCTCCGCTTGGGAAGAAACACTTAGCTAGTTGACCGACATTTTAAGTCCTTAATCTACGATTTTAGTCGAAAACACGAGACTTCCGAGATGTATTAATTTTATTCCGGCCCCATTTAATAAAATTGAAAAGGTTTATTTGATTTGGGTGTTATGAAATAGTAGACTAATTGTTTTTGATATGGCGGCTATTCAGGGCCGAGGTACAGTCTTGAAGTGGATAGTTCTCAGTGTGCACAATGGTGGAATCTAAATAATAATTCCTGAGTGAATACAACGCTCAAAATGCAACAGTATACAAAACAGACAAAAATTAAATATATATATATATATATATATACACACACTCATACTTGCACTATAAAACCCAGTAAATTCTATAATGTTCCGTTTAACATGCAACGTTGTGAACTAAATGCGTCAGTAGCACAATATTATCAATAAACAAATAATGTGACATTAAGTGGAGGACAATTTATGACGAGCATTAAACTAAGCACCACTAGGGAGGACAACCTGATCCATAAAGTAAATTACTGGTTTGGATTTAAAATCATTGATTAATTACTTAATTCGTTGTAATGTTAAAAAGTCGCAGGAGAATATACAAGGAGTCAAAAATTCCACACAATTTCGCCTTTTTGTTAAGTGTATGTATGAATATGAATACCTAGACTTTTTCGTTGCAAATTTCTTGCTTAAGTCAAAGTGACAATAAAACATGGTCAAAAACACCATAAAAAAAACTTTCCTGAAATATACACGTTCCATTAGGGCCAAACTCTTTCTATCTAACACACTTTTATCTTTATCAATTGATTCCTACTAAAATTTGAAAGAAAGCCATTCAGACACTTTAAGATAACCAAATGAGCCACTTAAATGTACAAACACCACACACCTACTAAGGTTTGCGTGAAGAAGTTAAAACTCTCCTTGTTTTAGCTGAACAGAAGTGAGGACAAAAGTTCGTTGAGTAGATGGCCTACTGGACTAACAAAGAGGGAAGGTAGGGTGCTTTTCTAACAGTTACTAAGATCATGTAAACCGGCAGATGATAGAACACACAACCCATTCTCCCTAATGCTGAAGGATGAGATATTCCATAACCATAATGACACCTACCTCTATGCTAAGAAATAGATCTGAATTCCTAGTACTAAATTAGAGGTAAATATGGCGGGTAACAAATATCAACAATTAAAAAGATCGTCTACATTGATTGGTGTAAAAATTAACCAAAATCTGAGCTTGATCAATACCACTAGAACGAGCTCCGTCCGTTGTTGAGTAACGTGTTTTATGATAGGCTTCACCAGCAAACAAAACAACTGGTTTGTTATCATCATTAAACAGAGGCTGGCCTAAATCATTTCTTCTACTTTCACTTGATTCTTGTTTCATATAACTGTACGATCCACAACTCCATTTGTCACTATTCCATTTAGTTACTAAAACATCCCGTGGTGCTGGAATGGATTCATCATTCAGAAACATTCGTATCTGCACGGTGCAGATTCTTTTGATTTCTTCTTTATCCAAGCTTTCTACATATTTGCCTTCTTCTCCTACCACACTACCAACTAACACATGGGCATTATTGTGGGGTTCATCAAAGGCGTGGATAGCTTTATACCATTCATCCGTATTATTGATGTCTTTGTTTTTATCTGTCCACGCAAATCTGATGGTGCCTTGTCCTTTAGTCCAAAATGGTTCATCATAATAAAGGAATATTTTATTGACGGTACCGTAACCTATTTGATATAAAGCTTGAGATTTATTTAAAGGAAGAGCGGGTTCAAATAAACTTTCATGATATTTTTGGAGATAACCAAGGGAACACGTGACAATCACGTGATCTGCTATAAATTCGGTTCCATCAGCACATATTATTTTGACATCGTTAGTTCTATTTTTAGAATCTATCCATATAATCTTATCAACCGCACGCTCTAAGATTATCTTAACCTTAGTCATTAATCTCAACAACGCGTTGATCACTGACTGAAAGCCATAGGGTAAGCACACGTCTTCCTTTTCGCCAATAGATCGGTATTGGCCTACATTTCTGCTGCAAAGATGGCGGAGATCGTCGCCATTATCGAACCTCATCAAGTTGAGAAAATAATTAAACACAGATTTGGCGTCTTCTCGATCTGCCTCGGGGAATTCCGTTGCAACGATCTGGTCAAATCTTTTGTTGTAAAAATCCTGAATGGTCAACTCGTCTTCTGGAAGGTGTCTATTTCTTCTGTAGACCTTCTCCAGCTCAGTTTCAATTTCAAAACCTTTATCAATAGCATCGTCAACCAGCTCTTGACGGATCTCTTTACCTTCCTCGTTACAACACACCCCGGTTCCCCTGGAAAACACAAAACAATTATATAATGGCTAACGATGATGCGGCCAATCCTGTTGCGGCGCCAGGATATTTCAATTAGGGAAGTGGGCTGGCTCGCACCTCTCACTCGACCAAGTTTCCGGGCTTACGAGTGAAATACGCGATTTGACATTTATCCTTGATAGGGAATAATTTCTAAAAAAACAGATTTGTAAATTGCCGTTGTAAATATTCCTTGGAGGAATTGGGCTACCCTTATGGATTCAGATGATTGGTAAAATACATCCACCCCGTTTATTTGCCCGCAAACCTCACAGTTATTCAATTATTCGGTCAATGACCAAATCCATATCACCCAGATTCAAACCCGAGACATGACTGAAGAATGGGCAGGTGATGCAGTTCTGTATTACTACTTAGATAAAATACAAAATATAACCCCGAAGTTTGGACAAAACAATTGACCCCATAGTCCACTCATAGGACGTTAAACCCTATTTCATTCCTTAGTCCAGATAAAAGACAAAATATGATCAAAATCTTGCCCGCGAGAGGAAAACTGTTTGTAAAAGCCATAGCTTTTTGTCACTTTCAATGCGGGCTGACTCTCTGTTCAATGTGGAGTTATGATTAAGATTAACAACTAATTTTCAGAAATCATTAGAATTTGTTTGGCTTTTAGTTATGACTCGTGTTAACGTTTAATATTCAAAACATGTAATACCCTAAGATTTAAAAAGGTGATCAAGGGACATAACTCTGTCAGTAATTATCGGAAATCGTTGAAAAACAATAGACTTCTTCGTCCCGTGAACTTAAACACTGTTTATATAATTTCAGTCAATCGGAAATTGCGTCCACGAGCAATTATGGAGGATGGACGGACTGACGAACAGGAGTGACGAGAATATACGACCACATTTCAATGTGGGTGCATAAAAATCAAAAATAAAACTTACCATTCGAGACGTATCAATGGTTTCAACATTCCATATTTCTTAGCAAGTCTATAAACAGAATTTTCTTTGCCTTCGCCATGAATCCACTGAGCGCCCAGATCTACTAAATCTGATTCACTTTTACCAAATGCCATTGTGTGAATTCTTCCTCCAATTCTGTAAGCCAAGAATAAATTTTAGATGTATATATATTAATACAGAACGCAAATATTGTTTTAAAAAATATAATAAATGGAAAATGGCCATGATATTTGTTGGGTCATTTTCAAATCTGATCTTTTTAAACTCTGACAATAGTATTCAAAGTCAAAATGTATCGTGTTAATTTCTGTGGAATAATTGAACTCGTGGTTCAGGTTTCCAATATCGGGAACCACGGTGACTCACTGAGTATGATCTTGCTCACTAACTAAGAGATTCCTGGTTAGATCTTGTTGATGACCGAGAAAGTTCCTCCGGATTTACCAGCGTGGTTTCCTCTTAATAGTGGGGTAGGACGTAGGTCTGGCAGGGAACAGCATCTAGTGGTTCCGATAAGATGGAAAACCAAGGTTCCGTATAAACGTTGATGTGCACAATAAAGAATCCTTGGTGGAAAAGTAGATGGAAATGTACATGCGAATAAACATAAACATGAGGTTTCATCAAAATTGTGAAAATTTAATGAAATGGGGTTTAACGTCCTACTGTTCTGCTCCTATGCTGGGCTAATGAAGACGGGCATACGCAATACAGTGTGCTATGAGGGGAATTTTGCCCGGGCAGCGGCACTATCGAATTCCAACTGCCAAGGGATCTTTTACGTGCATTCCAATGTATACACGGGACCTAGGTTTTTCGTCTCATCCGAAGGACTAGACAGCAGAGCTGTCCTTGTCAGGCCCTCTGTCCTGCACCACTGACAAGGGGGAACCACGCCGGAAAATCTGGATGAACTTTCTCGGCCAATGCAGGGATCGAACACCCGACCTCCAGGCTAGCGAGCCAGCGTCTTACCCACTTAGCCACGTGATCCCCTATCAAAACTGTGACCTCTAGAGGTTCCACAACCTTGATTTTACATCCTTTTACACTATTTCCGTACAGGAAGCAGCCATATTGTCGGGTAGTTTCCGTCTGATTTTCACGAAATTCGAACCCAATCGACATTTGGTTATAACGGTGATATACTTGAACGGTTTTTAATCTAAATAACAATTGTGGCCCCTAGAGGTTTCCCCCCCCCCCCCAAAAAAAAAAAAACAACAAAACACCTGAATTTTTTTTACAGCCAAGGCCATAATCCACTAAGTGACAGTCCGATATGCGCTAATATCTTTGGGTTGTATATCTCTATAATTTCAAATTTCGTCAAAATCGGATAAACATTGTGAGCTCTAGAGGGTCCACGATTAATGTTGACGGTCGGACATGGGCGACGACAATATACGTCCACATTAATATGTGGGCGTATAAAAGCAATATTATTACATTAATTCGGGGGCTGTTAAGAACGTTTTTGGTGGAGGTGGTGGAGAGAACGTGACTCAACCTGCCCCTAGCCATATACCCCACTGTTTGTCCATTGATTTGTGTATAAAAGAGATATGGTCTCAGATGACCTAGAAACTGGCAGCATGCCCTACCTCGAGCACCACAATAAAATATGGTATACCATGTATTAAAGTTAACATACCTATCTGATGCCTCTAATATGGTTATTTTCTGGAAGCCATTTTGTTGAAGATGTTGAGCAGCCGATAACCCAGCAATGCCCGCACCAATAATAACAACTTTTACTTCTGATTTTCGTTTAGAAGCCATTTTATCTGGAAAAGCAAATCGCACACTTGTTCAAATTATATATTTGTAGATCAACAAGCTATTATCCATTTACGACTAATAGGCTTGGTTGCCATTTTCATTTGTCCATTTTTGTTGTGGCGTCTCTTCGATCCATTTCTAAACTCTTGAGTGGAGACTATTTGCATCGTAAAGATATTCTCTATTGAATGTTTTAGATAGTTTCTAGCAATTAGTAACACAAACTGTCTCATCACTTCCGGTTTAAATTCCATTCAGAACATCCAGGTCACATCCGAACTAATATTCATGAAATCCTGCGCGTGCGAACTGGTGAAATTCAGAGAGAGAACTAGGTCATTGCGGGACTAACATATGGTTCAGTTTTATTTCAATAATTCGCTTGCGCGTTGGGGTGTTTAGCACTGGGAGGAAACCGGGGGACGCGGAGAAAACCCACGGGGGTAGACAGGCGACCTTACTCCTTGTCAGGAACAACCGGGAATCTAAACCAAGCCATTTGACTCAATGACAGACTTATGATACAAAGCGCACGCGTTAACCATTCGGCCGGCTGAATTAGGCAAATTACATACGCATATTGCTTACAATCGGTTCCATCTTGAAGATGCGCATCTTGAAGATCCAGCGCGGTTCAGACTTTTACTACTTTTAATACTGTCATTCATTCAGAGAGATAAGCCCGAGAATAATTCCGGAGTTACGGGTTTTATATTGGCTCGTTGTGAAATGATAAAACCTCTCGGCTAATTTTGTCAATTCTAAATCAGCAATTTAAGAGCTCACGTTTTCATATTCGTCCTGATAAAACGAGTGGGTGGAAATTGTACGATCCATCTGCTCGAGGACTTTTTACAATTTTATTTAATATGTCGATTCAGCAAGGGATAACATCAGGCACGAATAATCAATAGGAAACGCAGCTATAACTGTTACATGAGCTAGTTTTTGTTTACTTTGTTTTCTTATGTGTGATTTAGCCATGAGTTGTAAGACTCGCCTTATTTATAAACATTAGTATAGCATGAACAGAATGGTTTTAATTCACTTCAGCACGCACGGTGTTGCTGTTTATATAGAAGGAATTTCAGGTTAATACCATAAAAGGCAAGAAACATTTGCACAGTCAGCATTTGGTAATCTGTCAGTTGTAGGCGGCGATTTAATTTAGCTATTATCATCATTTTTTGGTGGACTGGGTTTTCCTCCGAAATTTCGATTAATACGCTAACCCTGTGCCAAAACATCTCTTTTAAATTATAAAATTTAATTGCAAAGCACGATACTATGGATATAAACTAGTGAATTCATTCAAATCAATATTTCGAAACGATTCGGTTGTCTTTACGAAATAGTTGCTCTCCCTATATTGACTAGTGGTTATCCATAAAACTTAGGCTTGTGATGCATTTTTCTTCTATTAATCGTCTATTTAGCTTGTTTGGTGAAGAAAAATAAGACATTAAACCACAATTCATTTTATGTTTCCTCTTTTAAAGGCACAAACCTTTACAAATTTAATGTAAACACTGCTATATTAAACATACATTATGCAACAGCTAAATCTGCCTATTGCAAGTCTTTATTTAGGCCTCAGATGTTATAGAAATTATTAATTAGACCTTTATTTACACGACAAGCTCAAAATCAACTCTGTAGACCCATGGATGGATTGGATACAGTTTGGATTTAAACAGTCGTCCATTTAAAATTAAATCAATAAATGGCGGACCAAGCTAACGTTTACCGTTAATCGCTGATGTCACTACCGGAAACTGGTGTTGAAAGACCTGTCAAACGAGGCTACCATAGCCATTTAGTATGTTACTTGATAATCGAGAATACGTGGGTGGAGTTATCGTCTGTCAATCAAACGATCGCCAATTCTAATAGACGGTGCAGATACAATTGATGCCTATTTCTAGTCCAAACTTCCAACAGTGACAATTCCGTTCAGAACAAAGTAATTTGACTGAAATTTTCAACATTTTCTTTTTTTATCATCTATTTTTGAATTAATATAGCAAGAATGGCCAACTCTTTATAAAACTCTTAACTAGTGTATCTTTAAGTAAGTATATATAACTACACCAGATTACAAAAAAAAGTTCATGAGGAATGGGCTTGGCTCGTTTGTACGAAAAACAAATGGTTAATTAATTTCACGGCAATATACTTATGTAAACAACATTAAATTAATGGCTATTACTTGTTAGGTATTTGTCCTCAACGTGCTTATATTCATATTTTCTAACTTTCTATTTGTCTATCCATCACCCCCACCCCACCCCCACCACACACACACCCCATCTCTCCCCGGGCCCCTTATTAAACGTCATTTATCAATGTAATACCAGATACTCTCTTTTTTTCTATCTCTTATCTTTTCAGGTGCCGAATTCTTCCTTCAGAGAACCAATAACAAAAGGAACAAACAACAGAAACAAAGATTTAATCAACTACCATACTGAACAAGAAGACCAAATAGAAGGAAAAATGGACCAGGCCCCACACTCAACAAAAAGTCCCAAGGAACGGTTGCACCGCTCTGCCATTCAACCGGACAAATCGACCAGACCGACAGAAACGACTTATACAAATATATATGTATACAATCTATGTTTAATTGTCTAAATGTTCGACTCTATTCATGTTTGCTTTGTCAAATGTTCGTGTTGTACTGTACGATGTGTGTCTGTCTGTAAAATATCCATGTCTCTATTCGCACTTCTTTTATTAGCACTTGTTATATAACGTCCCGTTATTTATTGTTTTATCTGTACATATATATAAATATCTAATAATCCCTTTAATTCTTTTTCGCTAATCACATTGTAAATAAGTTCATTATAATGTACATATAACATGCAATTGTCTGCGATATCAACTCGGTGGAAGCGGACGTTAAATAAAGCTATTTCACACACAATTCATGTGGCATATAGCAGATCATGGCTCGCACTACTAGTATTATACAACGTTTTGGTAACTATTCCTCCTTATTCTTATTTAGTCTGTAACATTAAAGGTCCGGGACTGTACAGCGCAGTGGACGCTTACGGCTAGTCCCCGGATCCATTCACTTAATCGGATATGTACGTTTGTTTGTGATTTCTGCGTATTGTGTTTTGTCCGTGAATTTGTTTGTGTGTGGTGCAGTCCCCCTGCACTTACTATTAAGTTAGAATTTAGCTGTTGGAATAATTAGAACTGAACAGTTTTATTAAGAGTACTTTTCACTGTATATGGCCTTGATGTTATTTAATTGAAACTTTATTCTCTCGTTTACCTAAGGTTTTAAAGGAAGCTAAAATAAGACTACGTTACTGTGAAATTAGGTTTCTCGTGATAATGGTCTATCCTAGATATAAGTAGGCCATAATACCCTAGGGTGATATTGGTGGCAAATGTTTATTTGTTGACCATATCGATTTTTGTTAAGTCTTTTGGAAGAAGCGGGATTTTCTGCAAGACATAAATCGATCATTTTGTCCTTGATCAAATAGATTTCTGTTACAAGTATTTCTACTTTATATGGATGGATTGGTCAGTCAGACGGATTTTGCATCCACAATGAGATTTATCCTTCGAGATGGCGCGTCTGACTAATATAGAACACGGGTTATGGACTATATCACGGGATGGCATAGACACTGAATATATCTTCTTCATTACGTTTGATTTTACGGATTAAAATATCCACCAAAATATAGCCATTATTTAAGCAAAGGTATGGTAATGTAATCTGGTATGTTATTTCATAAAACCATGGACCTGATTCCAATATGCTGTTTCACAAAATGTCTGTAATTATTGTTGAACAGTTGTTAGATCTACGCTTAAAGGGAAGCAACCCCGTTTTAAAGGGAAACAGCTGTTTTCCGATTCTAACCGATTTACTTATCTGTGTTAACAATGTGACGTGCGTGCCATATTTAGTCATAGCATGTACGCTACTCTACGTATCGATTTTATCTAAGGTCTTCAATGAAAATAAAAAGCTTTTTTACAATTAAACCATCTCCAGTTATAAAATGTACACTTAATATTGAATAAAACTTAGTAAATGATAGCAAAATCTCATTCTCAAGGGAGAAGAAAATCAAAGCAGCATCTACTTACTGAGAAATCCGTGTGTTTACAATTTGACAGAGAGATTTTTCCTCCGAGAATAGCACAGTTCAATGAAAATATTCTATGATCGGAACTAAAATGTAAGTTAGAATTTGTTCACAATACACAGACTAAACTGTTTGGGCGAATTTTGAAGAAAACCCCAAATTGAAACGAAAAGATAGCAGTAGAACGTCCAGGATAGAACACTGTGGACTGGTTTTAACTAGAACTGTCAGGCTATTCTTAGTAACACCTTGTCAGATCGGAGCGGTGGTAATCGATCGACCAATAGAAATGCTTCATTTAATTGTCGTTCAAGGGTCATCTGCCAATTTGTTGGTTTTAGTTATCTTGACGTTTAGGATAATTAATGACATCTATGTATTTATCTATATATGTTGACCGAAGTCACATTTTTTTTTTTTTTTTTTTTTGGGGGGGGGGGGGTCTGTAATGTTTGTTTTTAATACAATGCATAATTAAAATCCAAAGGCCATACCAATTAGAGTTTTTAAAATTCTTCAGGATGGTTCATGTTGATTTAAATACCACGACTGTATCTACCAAGGAGTAAGCACACTTGCCTCATCTCGTTTGGTTTCTTCGATTTTTTTTATAGCTAAATATCGAAATAACAAATACGGTATCTAAGTCCCGAAATGACCCAATATGTTGTTGACTTGTTGTAGACGTTTAAACCCCACAGATTCCTTTCCTCTGAATTGAGGAGGGTTGAGTGGTCGAATGGTTAACGAGTACGAGTTGTATTAGTTTTGTCATTGAGTCAAGTGGAGTGGTATCGATCCCCCCTTGTACGTGACAAGGGGTAGGGTCGCCTGTCCATCCTTGTGGGGCTTCCCTGAGTCCTCTGGTTTCATTCCACTGCTACAGACCTCTACACGCTAGCGAATTATTGAAATAAAAGTGCCGAAATGACCTAGTCCTAGTTTGTGTCGAGTGGACGTTAAACCCCACTGTTTTTGCCCTGGCCCTTCGTCCTACACCACTAACAAGAGGAAACTACACCGGAAAAGCCCAGGTAATAAAAAGGGTGTCAATGTGATTGTGTTTAATTGTATTTACACATGAAAGGAGTCGCGATCGTTCAGTGAGTAAGGCACGGGCTCGCTGACCAGGAGATATAGGTTTCGGTACCGGTGTGGGCCGAGAAAACTCCTCGTCTGTGTTGCAGGACGGGGACCCTGTCAAGGAACATCGCCTATAATCGTTCGACGGGGACGAAAGCCGAGATCTCGTGTATAGATTTGCGTGCACGTAAAAGAACCCCGGTATTTGGAATTTGATAAATAGTAGGTGGACACGCCGCTGTTCGAGCAAAATATCCCCCATGGCATATGTCCGTCTCCATTAGCCCAGTTGATGCGTTAAAAAAACAATTACTCCCATAGACAAAATCCATATGACGAATAGTGAATTCAAAAGTTACCTCCCTTGATCTTAATTAAATGGGACCCTTTAGCTTATTTTCAAATTAATTAATGAATGTTTAACATCCCAACTAACTAAACATCAAATTGGCATGGCCTTTTATGACTGTCATAACGGATTATACAATTTTACTTACTATAATCATTTACACGTTATTGGGAGGTATTACATAATAAATATTACTCTAGGCGCCCATTAATGAGAGATGCAACAATAACTGACAACTGACAGTAAAGGTTTCAAGTTCATTTAAAAGGACGTGACCTCTACGAAATGGGTGACAAATTAAAGTAGGTCGATTTGATTAAAGATGCAGTCTTTTGATTTGTTTTGCCAATTTTAATAATTTGTAGTTATAAAAGTATGCAGGGTCCGCCATAGGACCCTCCGTGCCTCGGACAAGCAACTCAGCGGGTGGAAGGGGTTCTCGAAGATTTTTAAAAGATACGGCGTCATTTTGGCGTATATCTGGGAAAATGGAGGTCACTTTGCTAAAACACAGACACATAGATTTAACACAACACTAACAAAATACATGTACTACATTTTAGTTTTACTCATGCAATAATAATCAGATGTACACGATTTTGACAGAAAATTTTAAGCAAGCAAACAAATGGAAAAACAAAAGGAATTATTAGTGAGCAGAAATTTGCCCGTATATCACTCGTCACTTCAGTCAGTTATATAGAACGATAACTCGTGCTTTCCTTTTGCGTTCGTCATTTCCGTTTGTTGAAACCTTCATTACGCATCTATCGTAGCAATGATAGAACGTGTTAAACCAGTTCTATCACATATATGATAATGACTGACACCAATATTGGCCTTTAAAAAGTGAACAGACAGAATTATTTTTTTTCCACAATCAGATCACTTATGATAGGAAAATTACTATTGCATCATTTGGCAAGTAACCAATCATTATAATTAATTACGTCATATTTGGCCAATTAGATAATTGAATGCTGAAACACAAGGGTAGAAAACCATCAGAGCTCCGGGTGATAGACAGACAGCAGCTAGATTCTTAGAGAGGAGACATGCATTGAGAGAGGGAGATGTCGTTGAGGTTCAAGAGACACCACCTGAATTGAGTAGATCCCATTGATTTGTAGGAGAGCCATGATGATGTAGTGTGAGATTTTAATGGATTTTCTATCATGTAGAATATCAATGATGCATGGAATTTAAATAAACAGTACTGACCCAAGTTCTTTCTCTCTCTCTCTCTCTCTCTCTCTCTCTCTCTCTTGTCATGTCTCTATTTAAAATAATTGAAAATCAGAACGTGTTTTTTTTTTTTTTTTCAATCAAACCACGACACAATTAATACTCACTGTGTAAATACAGCCTATAGTTTTATATGAAATAACCTATATAGCTGGATAGTGAAGTTGTGTGCGTTTAAAACTCAGGATATATTTATACCCTAGATTATCAGTGCATCCCGGATTGCACAACAAGTTGTAACTATGATATGTAAAAGCAACAATGCGAGTAAACCACTCCTACACAGATGATATTATTTGCGTACAAATCCATAGTTATAAAAGTGCACTTGAGGCCAGGAACAGTAAGAAAAGGAAATGAAATGAGGTTAAGCACTGAGGGAACTTTTTGCCAGGACAGCCTACTCTTATATCAAATTCCAACTGCCAATGTCTACTTGGGAACTCGGTTTTTCGTGCCATCCGAACGACTGTACGTTGTCCCTTGCCATGCCCTCCGTCCTGAACCACTGACAAGGGGGAACCACGCCGCAAAATCCCGAAGAACTTTCTCGCTTAACACAGGGATCGAACATGGGAATGACATCTCCAGGTTAGCGAGCCAACAGTGAAACCCCACTGTTAAGAAAAGACGGGCCTAAATTGGTCTTAATACTGGGGTGGTCTTTATATCGTGGTGGTAATTGACTCATCTATTGATATCCAGGGAAGAACTGGGTAGCTCTGCCCTCAGACGTACCCCATCACGTTGAAGAATACGTGACATGACCAGAACACGAAACTAACAGGATTCGCCTTTGCCGCACCCAATTCATAGACCATAATATTTTTCAGTGGATACGGAGATGAATATTATTTATTTTGAAAAAAAGTATATGTCAAAATTCATTTCGGATCTGCGCCGATGGACATCTGAACCTAGGCACCCCTGTCTACATCAACATTGTTTTTTGTTAACTGACACGTAAATCAGCATCCCTTTTCTCTGTTGAATCAAGAAATAAATACATGAAACTTTCAAAATCGGTTTTATCTGGAATTAGCTCACATGAGTCACTGCGACATTTGCTGAACACCACAGTTCATTTAATTATTTAATCCTACCTGACATGAACCGGGGAAGCTGTTATCAGGCAGACATTTTCATTTTGATTCGAAAACGGAAGATGTTGCTCTAACAGCCAATCAAAATACGCAATATACACAGCCTGGTGAGTCTCAAACACAATTAAAAAACGTCGCGTGACTCAACTTAACGACACTACCTGCAGTTATGCGCAAGTTCCGTAGCTCTACTATGGCCATATTTAATTAGCCATACAAATACCTATATTTTATTTTTGAGACACTAAACTTATTAATAAAGAAGCACAGCGGCTGACATAGATAAAAGACTACAGCTTCGATCACCAGCCGTAAAACCCTTCGCCGTAGTAAATGAGAATTGCGAATACTTCGCGATAATCACAATAATTTGACATTAGACCTTTAACCGCAAGGTTCGTGAAATGAAATGGGGTTTAACGTCCTACTGTTCTGCTCCTAACCTGGGCTAATGAAGACGGGCATACGCCATACAGTGTGCTACGAGGGACATTTTGCCCGGGCAGCGGCGCTACGGCCTACTCTTATATCGAATTCCAACTGCCAAGGGATCTTTTACGTGCACGCCATCCGAACGACTAGACAGCTGTCCTTGTCAGGCCCTCCATCCTGCATCACTGACAAGGGGAAACCACGCTGGAAAATCTGAATTTATTAAATGTTTTACCACACATCATCTATTACATTCCTGTGCAGTTTATTTCGAATCCATTGAAATGAGAAATTGCAGTTGAAACTTCCGAAATTAATATGCCCCTGGATTAATTGAATTAGGACTAGTTCGTTTTGATAAAAGTTAGAGCAATATGGGAGACATATGGGCAAGTAAACGTTTGTTCTAATCGGTCAACACATCTAGGAGGTAGACCGGGAACTAAAATAAACCTGATTATGGGTTGCCAATGGCAACAGTTGTTTCCGTAGCAACCAAGATGCCAGTTGGAAGACTAGATCACTTGTAGTATGCCACCTAATTTTCAATAGGCTATTTAAAAAAGGGTGTAACAAATTAAAAAAAAAATTCTACATTGATGTGAAAATGTTTACTATTTCTAGAAATTTCATACCGTGTACAAGTATAACGATGAATTCGTATGTTGCCATTTTGTATCTACACTGATGCAGTAGGGGCTTTAGGCCCCTTAACAGTGTGGGTTGACACAATACGAGGGATAGCTTACAACCTGTCGAACTTCACGTGGCTAGGGCATCAAAGGACGGTATTTTTACCAGTGCCGGATTTACCGCAGTGCATATGGTGCAGTCGATCCCAGACCCACAATAAATTAAACATATTGATATATACATTGGAGTGCACGTAAAACATCCCGTAGTGCCGCTGTCCGGGCAAAATCTCCCTCATAGCACACTGTATGGCGTATGCCCGTCTTCATTAGCCCAGTTCGGAGCAAAACAGTAGGAC